TTTAAATATATATTTATTTGAAAGAAGTTTATACCTACATAAACCATGAAAAACTTTAAAATTGATGCATTTTAATAATTTGTTAAAATTATCTGATTTTTTATGTGTTAATCTATTCATGAAAAAGAGGTTTAGATCTATAATTTTCTATTATAACTTTTGTTTATGTTCATTTGGAAACTTCATCATTATGATTTCTTTTACAAATATTTAGGCACAAGGGTTAGTGCCTTTGTTAAGGGAAGAGCCCAATTCTTGTCCATCAAGGTTGGTTTGATGTTTGTGGAAAGTATTTTCAAATTAAAATTTTAAATACATTAAATCAAAATTAAAAAAAAAAAACATTTTTAAGGTCATTCGCAAAAAAAAAAAAGTCAAATAAAGCTTAGAAAAAAAAAAAAACCATATTTCGCTTTGCTTAAGTTAAAAACATACTATATAAAACTTTTTCGAAGGTTTAGGTCATTCGAGAGGCTCTTTACTTTAAAAATAAGAATAAACACTATCAACTAATGAACAATATATCAAAGAGAGATTTGTTGATTTCCACGATGATTCCATTGTACATAACATGACCAAATTGAACAAATTAGTGCATAAAGTTCGGCTTCGTATGGTTTGTTACAATAACTTTTAGTATTCTATTAACTTGGAAGCTTATTAATGGTCAATGAAAGTTCAAAAAACCCAACGAAGGTCTTTAATTGAAATTTAGAATTTATCAAATCATTCTTTAATGACAAAAAGGGAAAGCCTAATGACATAGAGATCTCATCATAAAGGATTAAGCCTCACCGCAGAATAATTGTACTTCCTGAAGCCATCTATTTTTTTAGTAAGACTTTAATTGTACTTCTAGAACACAATAATTCTAAGCCGGTGCGCAAATAAAAGTTGTAAGAAAGCCTCATCGCAACTATTGCCTCATCAAGTATCCCCTTGAAATGGTGTGAATCAAGTTTAGAATCTAAACAAAAGCATTGAATAGAAAAGCCTATCGATGGAGCAAAAAATCAGAATTAATCTAAAAAGCCTAAAAGAAAGAAAAACACACAACCTCTTTTATTTATTCATATTGACCTTACACTTCTTATAAGGGATAATGTTCCATTTGGTCCTTAAATTATGGCATATTTTTAATGTGATACTTAAATAAAAAAATTTTAATTAGTTACTTAAATTATATTTTCATGTGTTAATTTGCTTCAAACGTTATCATTAACCCTAAATGCTAACTTAACATAAACATTTAATAAGATACTCTCACATGTCAAAAATTCAATCAACATCACATCATCAATGCTATGTTAGCATTAAAAGAAATTTTCAAAAAAATCTAAAAAACATTTAATAATTTTTTAATAAATTTTTAAAATTGTTTTGAATTTTTTAAAATTTTAAAAAGTTTTTAAAATTAGAATTTTTTAAAACTTTTAGAAATTTTTTAAGAATTTTTAAATTTTTTTCAATTTTTTAAATTAAAAAAATTTTTCTTTTAATATTGGTGTGACATTGATGATGTAATGTTGATTGTACTTTTTGACACATGTTAGCATCTCATTGGACATTAATATCACGTCAGCATTTATGGTTAAAGGTGATAATGTTTGGAGAAATTAACATACAAAAATATAGTCTAAGTTACTTGATTAGAATTTTTTTTTTCTTTAGGTACCACATTAAAAAAAATACAATAATTTAAGGGCCAAATGAGACATTATCCCTTCTTATAAAGATCAATTAGATCTTTCTTCTCTTAACCAAATCGCCCTATAGTTTGCTTCAACTTTTCAATAACAGCCTTAGTAACTTAAAATTAATTAAACCATTTGCAAAGAAATGGAATAGAAAGTAAAAGTTCTAATGACATAAAGGGAAAAGGAGTCGATAAATGTCCCAAACATTTTGTACATAGCCTTGAAAATAGTTTTCAAATTTTCAACATCCATAGCAAGGTTTTGATCAACAAAAAAAAAAAAAGAAATAAATTAGATAATGCTCAATTAGTAAGGTAATAAATTTGACAAATTGACCAATTCATTGAATTGTTTATATAAGAATAAGAAGTCTATGGATGCATTTTTCACAACAAAAGCTGAAAAGAAACAAATTATTGTCATGTTCTAAGGGCTTTCAGTAGCCTTGAACTACATTTACTCACAATATCATCAATACAATCAATTTCATCATAGATTGCTCATTTTTCCTCATCACCAAAAAGTGAGATAATAACAGTCCTGTTGAAATTATAGATTGATTACTTAATGGGGTTGACAATCTGGTTAGTGGTAAAACTATCAAGACCAGTTGATATATTATCCATAAAAGGTCCTCGTACAGGACATACCAGCATCTCTCCTAACACACATTCAAGTCATTAAAATTGAAGTATTCTGAAATTGTTGTTTTAATTACTTTTAGTTTTTTCTTTTTTGCAATTTCATTATCAATCTACTTATAATAACATGTTTCTTCTACCTTTTAAAAACCCTTATCATTATTGCATCTCTTACTATGGTATCAATACAAACTTTCAGTTTTTAAATTTGTAGCATAAATCATATGATAGAAAGGAAAAAAAGAAAAGTAATTTTTAATGAACAAAATTGTTCATGATTACAAAGAAAACTTAATGCTACCTTGAGAACGTCTTGTAAAAACCTTTAACAATTCTTGCAAAGTTGAAAATTATTCATTGATTCGTGACATAAAGAAAACAACACCAAACCTTTAACAATTCTTGCAAAAAAAAAAAAAAATCAAATTAAGGCAAAACTCTTCCTAATAACATGTAACAAAAAAATCCACCCAAACAATTTTCTACCAAATATACAAACACAACCAAAAATAACAAAAACAATAAATCTTTAATTTGAGAAAGATCATCGAAAACCAAAATCCCAAAAATTTTGTCAACCATAAAAAAAGAAACACATTCATTGAAGACAACCTGAAATTTTTGAACAAAGAAATAACATAGAACCCCCACAAAGCAAAAAAAAAAATTTAAGAAAATAAAACCCACAACGTCTCTTAAAAAATTAGCCACCATTAAATTAAATATAAAAAAATACCAAAGCAAAGAGAAACTTCAAATCCAAAAACAAAGAATTAAATACCGAAGCAAATACTGAAATAATTGATTGATGAACTTATTCTATCCATGTTATCAGCCCTAGATCCAAAGGGAAATCAGAAGCTTTAGAGATGTGTCTGGCAAACAATATCATATTTGAAAGAAATTGACTTTTTCAATAAGCCTAAATGTATAAATAGATAGTTAAGAATGAAAATACAAACCAATATGAAACAAATAATTAAGCTTCTGCACATGTATAAACCATTAAAGTGAGTCCAAAATGATAGAAACATAAATAGAAAATGTCTTCGACTAAAACCATATGAACACAAACATGTGTCAAACAGTATAGCAAGCAACTAAATTTAGAAGTCTCAATTTGTATACCTAACCTGCTTCCAAGATAAAGAAAAAAAGCATCCATAGTGTTTACCTAAATAACCCTTTATAGATTTGAATATAGGCCACTAGATTAAATGGTGAAAGATGATTAAACATAGTATTGACATGATACTTGAGAAGTATGATATCTTAAGTGAAAATTCAAAATATCAACAATATAAGTCACAAAATTTTCTAAAAGGAGCTCTTGATTGATGAACTAATATAAATAAATCGTTAAAGGAACTCACCTTAGATCAAAACAGTACCATACCTTCAACAATTCTTACGAAAAAAATAAAATACTCATAAAATTAAAACAGAACTTTTTCCAATAACATGTAACAAAAAAACTCACCCAAACAATTTTGGACTACTAAAGAAATAATACGATCCATCCTTGAATCCCTTTGCAAATGTTTAAGAAAAAACCCAAAATCTTAGAATATTCTTCCCATTTCCTTTCTCATTATAAAAGGGAGATAGTTAAAATAGAAAAAGAAAATAATTAACTGATAAAATCGTATGAACCACAAGGCTTTTAGTTCACTAAGAGTTAAGAGAACTAAATGCTTCACTCACTAGAATGTAACTTAGAAAAGGGTTTATCAAGAATCAAACTGATTTTTGTCTAATACAAATATTTCCAAAAAAAAAAAAAGGCTGTTTTTTGGTTTTAAGATATAATAATAATAATAATAATAATAAACAAAGAAGAAGAAGAAGAAGCAAAGGGAGAAAAAAATGCATTACCTTCGTGGAAAGGAAAGGGTGAGGAAAAATAGAGGGGAACGATAAAAGTATTAAGGAGGATTAAAAAAGAGTTTGATTGAAAGGGAAAATTTTATGATTTGAATACTATTTTCCTCTGTCTATCTTTCTGTTAGTCTGTCTCAATTGTGTGAAAAAAAAAAAAAAAAGAGAGAGAGAGAGAGAAAGAAAGAAACAAAAGCACGTGAAAGCAACCGTTACTAGCTTGGTGCATTGCTTTCACAGTGTGCTCTTTGTCTTGCGCTCAAAAGGTAAAAGAAAAAAATCGTGGCAAACCAAATCCAAAAAGCCAAACACGTAACAATCCTAAGATCTTTCAAGATCCTTTTTATATATAGTAATATAGATATTGAACATGAGATTGCTACCTTGCAAGATCCAAAAAATAATTTTGAAAAAAAAGAAAAAAAGAGAGAAAAAGAAAAAAGGTACAACATTACAAAAATGACCTAAATGTTACTGATCCCAGAAAATTAAGTTGATATATTCATAAAGTAAACAAAAACCATCAACTAGCTAGGCAGGCAGGTGCTGCTACAAACCACATTCACCCAACAGCCTTAGATTCACCAATTAAATTTTAATGTTTTTGATTATCCCAAAACTAATCATAACCCAAGAAAACAGCATAAACTAATGGTCATGAATGAATGCCCCATCAACCTGCACATGGCCTTGTTCCCCATCCCTCGTGGGGTCCTGAAATTCCAATAAATTTCTACTCAAATATATACTTACTCATAATAAGAACATTAAGAGAAAACCCACATGAATGCAGTAATTAAATTAATAAAACGGTGAACATGGAATTACATGATATGAAGAATCCTTTTTGATTTGCAGGAGAGGAAAAAAAGTACTATTAGCATTAAAACTGAGGGGAAAGAATAAAACACATACACAACAAATTATGACAGAAAGGACGACTAAACAATAGTAAAAACAGGTGATTATTAAACAAGCCCCATTAAAATAAACAAGCCAGACAATAGAGTTAAGTTTACGGCTTCTTGTCCATTACAAATATCCCAGATCTTTTTACCATATCTATACCAAATATATCCAGAAAAAAAAAAAAATACACAGACACATCCAAAGAAGCAGCAGCCAGCTAGCTCTTTGCTCTATTCCAGGACCTTGTTACAGCAACTATGGCCTTGTCCAGACTTTAAGGATACAGAAACCAGGAAAAAAGCCAGCAGCTGGCCAAATGCTAGGTATATATGTGGTTTAGGCTCTGCTCTTGCATTTCTCCATTGCTCTTGGAGCTGAAATTAATTTTAACAAAATTAACATTAGTTACTATATATATATATCATGTTGTTAATTGAATCCATTAAGTAAATAAGTGAATAAAAATCAACCTACCAAGTCCAATTGCTTCTGATCCTTTCATTATGCGCAAGCGTTTACATGAGTCAACAAACATCCTACGAGAAATTAAGCAGACATAAATGGCAAAATTCACCTTATACTTATAAATGAAAGTCGATTTTACTAGTAAAGTACTTAAATCTTAATTTTAGTGATCAGTATTCAATCTTTAATAAGCTCAAATATGTATACATATATATATATATATATATTAAAAAGAAAGCAATTTTTAGGTCTCAGCGCCTGGCAGAGCCAGCTTTTTTTTTTTTTTTTTTTTTCTTTGCTGCAAGGTGAGGTGAGCTGCTAAAAGATGTACATGGATATGGAAGCTTCTAATGAAGACTAGCTAGCATATAATTAGGCAAAATTACTTATTTGATTGATTATATTTATAAGGTTTAGGATTTTTATATTTTATTGAAGGGAAATTGAATATATATATATATATATATATATATATATAGATAGATAGATAGATAGATAGATAGATAGATAGATAGATAGAACTTACTCCCATGGGACATCACCCACAAGCATCCAGTCGCCATCCTTATCTTCATAGGTTGGCACATAATCAGAAGTGTTGAGAAGATCCATCAACTTGCTCTCATTCATGAAGTCTATCATTCCTTGAGATCCATAATTACCTTCAAAAACAAAAACAGCAATGTATATATATCAATTTTACTTGTTTCCGATAAAAAAAAAAAAAACTAATGCCATGAAATTATTCAGTGTTATGCTAAGACAGACATGCAACCTAAAACCTTTTCTTTTAAGTTCCTTAAGGATGCATATACAGTTGATCTTATACATTCTTTTATAGTTTCTTTTAAAAGTTGAGATTTAAAATTTAAACCTGTTATATGTAACATTTTAAGATAATTGTATGAATCAGTTTAATTAAATTATATTAAAATTAAAAATTGTCTTAAACACTAGAATAAGATAACAATAACCAACCAGCTTTTTCCTATAGCTTAAAAATACGCCTTTTATAGTTTCAAATCTTAAAATCTGTAATTCTATCTTCTACTGCATTTTTTTGTAAAAAAAAAAAAAAAGTACCTAATCAAACGTCTTTTCTCAGAGTCAAAACTTTTCCTTTTTAAAGAAGTTTACAAAAGGGTATTATTACAAGCATATAATATAGAAAATTATATTATCTATATATAATTTTTTAACTTTTCATGGACATAATCACATGGATGATGGATCTTTTCTAATTAAACATGGTACTTGATACTTACTATGTGTCTTTCTGGTCTAATAATGAAACAATAAACTTACCCATGGTGAAGGAACTGAACATCTTTGCCAAGGCATCAGATAACTCTTGGTAGCTCTTATATATCTTCAAATCTACCTTACGTAGATATGGGGCACCATCCATGCAAACCTTCACAAACGCTGCACTGCCACTGCTAGCTTTCTCACTTTGCTCACAGCTGTTCTTCTGGTTAGCCATAATGTTCTTCCTGGAAGATCGAACTGGGGGCCAACCCACAACTTGTGCCCTGAAAATCCAGCCACAAATGGATATTATTATAGTCTTCCAACAACAAAGAAATATTTATAACTAATATATACAACAAAGAAAAGGAACAGATATTTGCTTTAATATAGTATATTAATAGCATAATAACGAAGTCTGATAGAAATATCAGAAAGTATAAAGAAATAAAAGGTGTGGGTAGCTTTATTTTGACTTACTTGGCTGGTGGTTTTGCAGGATCTTTGGTGCAAGTAGGGAGGATAATTTTTTCTTTTGAACCATTCTCTATGTTCTGGTTCAGATCCATGCTAGTTTCCTTAGACTGAAGATTAAGCTTCAAATCAACAGTCTCAGAGTAGCCTCTTTTTCCAGTTGTCTTTGGAGAACATTCCACTTCATTTCCAGCAGCAGCAGCACCTCCTCCACCAGGCAATCCAAGGCACAACTCAGTCTCTTTGAAGTTCAAATTACGATCAGTTCCTAGCATATTGGTCATTTTGCGATAGCAGAAAGAACCTCTTCAGCGATGACCTTTTCTCTATCTCTTGATCCTATATATCTCTCTCGTTTGAGTTTGTCTTGATATATAGCTTTTGCTTCAGCTAATTCTTCTGTGTGTCTCTGGTTGCTTCTGCTATTATGTTTGCTACCAAAGAGAGAAAGAGGGACGGAGAGAGAAGAGAGAAACCCTCAATCATATAAACTGTGGGGTGGAATTTGAATGGCTGCATGTGTATGTCACATCAGCTTCATGATCTATGGTTTGTCAACACGTGGAGGGAGATGGGACGTTAGATCTATTTCACTTTTGATTGAATAATGATGGTGATTCTATTCTTGGGTTAGCTAGCTAGGTCGTCTCATCTCGTCTCTTCGGTCAACTATATATCACATGCAAACCACTTGGTAAAAGGCATTTAAACATGGTGAAACAAATAATGTAGCCCCTTGTGGACCTAATTAATCACTTACCCTTTCTTTGAATCATTACATCAAGATTATATATTGCTATTTACTTTCTTGTAGAAGATAGCTAGGGAAATTCAATGAATTAATGATATGGGAGTTATACTTGCATGGTGTCTTTTGGGACAATTTTGTCCTTAAATTTGATTATATAATATACTCCTTTTCTCTAATATATAGGGTTTAATTGATTTTACACAGTGTTTAAAATTTTTTAAATTGAATTTTAATTTTAACGATTATGTATTTTTGAATTTTTTATTTTACACAATAAGAAAAATATTGTGTAATTGTTTTCTTCTCTTTTTTGAAGAAATTTTTTTTTTTAAAGGGAAGAAAGTTTTTTATTGCCAAATTTTGCAGGGTGTTGGGAAAAGCATATGATTATGCATGACCCAATACAATTAGTTATGCTATAATGCATAAATTAAAATAAAAAAATGGGCATATTTTATAGTAAAGATACTTCTAAGAAGTTTCCAATTGTGCACATTCTCACATGAACCAATAATTCATCCCATACAATGCAACACCAAGTTATATTAAATACTATATATCTATCTCATAAACCGGCAGTATGTCTACATTACAGCGCAAGTAAATTGTTTTTCTCCAATTTTAACCTATTGTTTTCTTCTCTTTTTCTACTTGACAATTCTCTTGAAAGAGTTCATGAATTATTGACTAGAACAATGAAAAGGCCAAAAAAAAAAAAATAGGTTTGGATCAGCCACAGCGAGAAGACAACGTTCTTGAATTGACACTTGCCCGCTCCTGCGGATAATAATTAATGACACATGGCTGGAAAATTAAAGTTTTTTTTTTAAATAAAATACAATTAAATCTTCATTTTAATTTTTTTCCTAGAATTACACTTTCCACTGGAAATTTTCAGATATTGTTTATAAAGGTTTTTTTTTTTAAACTAAATCATATAAGAAAATCTAAATTTGAGGATAAGAACTTGTGAACTACTTACTCATTTATTAATAGTTCAATAACATATAAAATAACTAAAAGTATTGTTTATATACAAACTGGCCAGGCCAAAAAAAATGTTTATACACAAAGTTTAATTAGTAAATTAATAATTTTAGAAAGGGTTAAATGACTAATTATAATTTGTAAATAATATAGAATTTTTTAGAAGTACTTTTTATATAAAAGGTTACTACATGTTACGTTAAGAAAAAAAAAAAAAACCAAGTACCCATTAACTCATGGTATATTACAAGTTTGAATAAAATCTATCTATCTATCTAATTATAAATTAATTTCTACAAAAATTTTCCTTCTAAAAGATTGTCTCTACTAAAACAGTATCTCGAAAAACAGTTAGCAGTACTGGGGTTACTGCTACGGCCAGTACAAATTGAGATAACATTGGGGAAATTGGAGACAAAAAAGAAAGCAAAAGAAAATTCTTTTTGGAGGTCAAATTAAAGCATGAAAAAGGGTGGCAAATGCACGATATTGTGTCACCAATTTCCCCTGTAGGACACATTGAAGAAGATATATGAATAGCAATTCCTATCAGCACTCATTCTAATGGCCTTTGAAGGCCATGGTGGTGACTTAGAGACAGGTCATATCCGTAGGAGAAGGAAACATCCCTAACCCAAGCTGTGTCCTTGCCTTGTCAACGTCCCCTCCCCCATTTTTGATTGTTTCTTTCCAACCTAATCCTATGATTTAACACAATTATGCAATTATCCCCCCCTCTTAGCCAATTCCCATCCACATCTCCTTTTAACATTACCCAATTCATCCCCTTCAACAAAAAACGCATTCCCTTTTCAATCTTCATCTTTTTTGAACTTGGTAGAGTCAAAATCAATATAAGAATTCAAACAAAAAAAAAAAAAAAAGAAAAACCCAATATAATTCCTTGTTATCTTCTCAAGAAAGTGACTCCCCACTTTGGATATAAGGCAAGACTTTTTTTTTTCCTACAATTTATTGCAATGAAGTATTCTTTTAAAATCACCAAATGATCTGTTGATAAAATATTAAATTTTTAATTTTAATAATTAGAGTTCAAACTTATATAATCTCAAATATAAAAAAAGTAAATTTTTTAGAGGATTTTGGGTGGTCCAAACATAAAAACTGTGATATCGTGTAAATGCTAGATTGTATTTTATTGCCACAAAATGCAATGGAATTGAAGACCACAAGGAGGACAAGATCAAATATTGTTTTTGCTCCAAAGTTAAACAAGTGATTTTCGCTATCCCCCTTGAACTTTGGTCTACTTTGGGTGCTTTACGACGTTACCACAACTTTGTCCTATTTATATCATCACTCTCTTTTAATTTGTTTGCTTCGTTCTATGCCTTCGTATAGGGATGCGTGATTAGCTGGCTAGCTAGCCAGATATTTTCAAAAAATCATCAGAACCTGTTAAGTTAGCATGCTTCATTTATGACAGAAAAATTTTCGATGATTAAAATTATTAGCACAATTTATATGCTCACTCGAGCACGCATGTTTTACATGAATGTTAATTCTTTTAGTAGAAATGACGGTTTTTTTTTTTTTTAATTCGGCTTAAATCATTATGGAAAATGCTTTAAAAATAAATTAGGAATGCACCAAATTAATATAGAAAATAAGTTCTAAGATCGATCCTTCGAAAAATGATTATGTCTAGGTAAAATCTAAGATATCCTGATCTTATTATTAAAAAGAAGAACTATTTTCGAGAAATGAGGCCAAATTTCTTTTACCATAAACAAGATAAGTAATAAGCTACTCACCATTCATACTTAATTACTTAATTTAAATGATTGATGAAATCAATCTCTAATAGAGGTAAATTATTTTGTAATAAAGGTCCTAAAATATGCATTGTTTGTTGAATAATGTAATATCACTCACCAAATTGATTAAAGTTCAAAACTTCAAAAAAAAAAAAAAATCTTCGTAAATCAATGTTAATTTTGATAAGTTAACAGGTAAAATAACTGTGTATAAAATTTAACATTAATAATGCATAAGATAAAATATAAACTCTTTCATTATAATATTATATGTATGAAATTTGCATATGAAAAAAATTAATGTAAATCTGAAACCAAGAGTAAGTTGTAATAGATGTAACATTAAATGATGATAAGGTTTTGAATGTGTGTCTCGGATTAAAGCTTTTCAGGAATATGACAAATCTTCATTCTTATATTACTAGCATACCTTTTCATCTAATTTAATTTGAATGTCCATAAGTATGATGTAATGTCTCCCAATTTACTCCTACTTATTAATTTCAAAACTGTGGGCATTTTCAAACTCTCTTGATCAACTATTTTCAAAGTTGCTGTCTGTATGCCCCTGGCTGATCAATGGATTAAATCTGAAATTGATATCCTTTTTATTATAGCAGAGCCGACATGTCACATACAGTCCATAAGTGTAATTAACGTATTAATTATGATCACTAATCAAGTTTATTAATTTGGACCTACAAATGCAATATCTGAGAATCTCCTTCATAATTATATTATTCCAAATGTTGGTGGAACCTGGGACAGGAGAGGCCATGGTGGGGGCGGACCAAAGCCACTCTTTTCTCGGAATGTTTAAGCTAAAATATGGCCTCACCAGGCTGCCCTTTGATTCATTATTTCTTGCCTAACGCGGTTTTGCACTAATCTATGATTAAACCTTTTCTAGTCCGTATCAGTGTGAAAGATATTCAAATCAAAACAGCAGTTTCGCTCATGTTTTTTTTCTTTTAGTCATCAAGCTTCATGTCATTGATAAAAATTAAGGTTCATAATCATGGAGTGATTACAGAAGATATACGCAGCTCTATTTACTTAATCTTTCCCTGAAACCAAAGAGGATACCGAATCAGTTTAGTGGCTGACACAAGGATCATCAAGCTTTTTAAAAGGAGGTTACATGAATCCAGCCAGTTCTTTGTTACTTATAGCGGAAAGAATCCAAGTTAGTTATTGTTTATTCTTCTTTACAGTTGCTGGTTTGATACCCCTAGGTAGCTATAATAATTAGTTTAGGTAGTGGAGAGGGTAACAATTTTATTAAATTGGCTGGAATGGGGTTGTTTTTTACCTGCTCGGTCTCCCCTTGAGGACTAATCTCTAAGAGTTCTTTGTTTTTCCTTTTTTCTTTTTTCAATTTGGTGAAGAAGAAAAAGCATATCCCTATAACCCTATTAAATTATATGTTCCTAAGGATTAAAAGACTGTTCAATGAATCATATATGATTACTTTAATTTATGACAATAGTGACTTCAATTTTTTTTAAAAGGGAGATTCGAATATTAAGTAAAAAAATCTCATGCACCAAATCACTTGAGCCAAATGTTGGGGTGCATAACTTCAATTTACATGGCCGAGACTAATGATCATATTTATGTATATTCAGGATTTACTTATAAAGAATTGGTTGTATGTGGATATGAATGTGCCTAAAAAGGTATAGAAGAATACAAAACAGTGTCTATCAAGCATTTACTACCAGGCTTATCTGCTACAACGATACAATGATAAAGGGATATTGAAAGTATAATTTTTTTGCTACAACTATACAATGAAAAAGGGATATTGAAAGTGTAATTTTAATGATAAAGATAAATCAGGGAGCTTTTCGTTTAAGCAGATCATGAAGGAATAGTTGCTCTGAAAATGTTTACATCAGCTTAGGAGGCAGACTGTTCTATCATTAGCGCATCCAAACTTAATTTAACTTTTGCGGAATTTATGAGCCAA